TAAAGGATTCAAATAACAGATTAATGAAAGTTGAACTCTTTCTGGAATCATGTGACTGGAGGGTTTGGAATTTAACAATCCTGCTTGTGCCCTATTCTTCATTTTCCATCCTCCTTTTCTACCCCCCCAGCTGACCAGAATCTCTTTGACAGTGATGCTTTTGTTCTCTTTACGGGCTCCATTCGAAGCGAGGTAGAATGGAGGAGGGCTTAAAAAATTATATATATACCACACCCACTCTTAAGTCGCCCATCTCTCCCCCTCCACCCCCTTCCAGCCTTCCAAGTAGAAGGAATTATTGCTGGAAGCCATCAGTCCCCTGCTAACGCAGGGTTAACATTAATAGGGCTGGCGGAGAGAAGTTTTATGTTGTTTGGGGTGGGGGGGGGAAGCAGTGTGGGATGTGTTTTTTGTTTCTAAACAAGTAACTTGATGCACTGGAAGTGTGACTGGTTAAAAACTGCAGTTCAAAACCCAAATGCCTCCTTTTGGGCCGTGAGTCAAAATTGCCGTGAGCGGGGAGTCTTGCTGTTGGACAGATGTGGGGAGAGTGGAAAGGCAAAGGGGGTCCTTTCTTGAGGTTGATGCTCCCAGAGGGGGAGGTGTGGGGGGGAATTAGAGAGGGAGAAATATGGATGACTAATGGTTGTGCATGGTTAAGTGAAACATGTATTGGAACAATAGGGCCTTCGGTGGCTTGACTTTCTTCCGTGAAGGCGAGTTTTAGGCCTTTTGCCATCAGTGAGGTGCCTGCTGCCTTGAGAGGACCCCAGCGTGGGCAAAAGTGCCTCAGGGGTCTGATTTCGGTGTAAACCTAGGGCAATTCTATTAAAGTCAATGGATTTCACTCTGGTTTCATACCACCAAGCTCAGGATCTGGCCCAGTGTCTCTGCGAATAGAGGGGATGGGGGTTGTGGGGGTATGTTGCTACCAAAGGAGATCTCCCTGGGCCCAATTCTCAATGGCCCTACACCATGTGCAGTCATTTACACCAGAGCAGAGTGAGCGTGGTCAGCAGGGTAGTGTTTGCACCAGTATTAACGATTGCACAAGGTGCTGGGCAATGGAGAATCAGGCCCCCTTTGTTTAATAAAGTTAAAAGAGAGAGAGATTTGTTAGGCCGAATCAAAACTGGAAATGTTATATGATGCCAGAAAGATGCCTGTGTTGTTTTCTGTCTGGGTAGCATCGCTGACCCAAACTCTAAAGCAGAGGGGTGTGTTTTGATTTGTTTTGCATGCAGCAGTGTGTGTGTTGTGAATGGAGTGATGGAAGGAAACGCAGAAACCTGCTGCAATTCTCCCACTAGCGGGGAGGGAGGGTTGGTTCCAATGTCTGGGAAACTGGTAAGTATCCATGGGCCAGATTCCCAGCTGGGGTAAATCAGCATTGCTCCGTCTAAAGTCAACATGACAAATTTTCAGCTGGTTTAAATCAGTTTCACTCCATTAAAGTCTATGCAACTACACTGATTTACCCCAGCTGAGCATCTTTCTTTCTTGTCTAATTTTATGCCTTTGGGGGGGTCTGTTTTTTGTTTGGAGGTTAGATGATGGGGTACAGGTTTCCAAAAGTGCTGAGCATCCGTTGAGGACAATGGGTGCTGCTGGGTGCTAGGCACTTTTGAGAACCCGGTCACTTTGGTTAGGTGAATGGGTGCTGCGTTCTTTTGAAAGGCCTGCCTGGAGTCTCTAGAGAACCCACTGCATGAAGATTATAAATGAGGTCCCTTGTTTAATAGAGTGGATGAAGCCAATGCAAGCCTGTGATACATTAAAGGGGAATGGTTGCTTTCAGTGGATATCTGAGGATAAGGAGATAAAAATGTATGGAAAAGAGATATAAATATCCTTTTTTTAAAAAAAAAACTTGTTTGAGGATTTTTAATCAAAACCAGTTGTTTTTCTTTTAAACTTGACATTGTTCCAATTAAATAAATTGCAAAATTTCTTGATCTTTAAAAAAAACTTTTCCCAGCTGTCAAAGTGCAACTTATTAAAAACATACACACACAAGGCCTCTTTGCACACTTCTGGCAGTGCAATTTATGCCCACTTTAAGACCCGTTTGCACTGCCAGAACAGTGTAAAGGGATCTTAGTGAAAATGAGACTCAAGCCCCATGTATTTTTATTTGAATGGTTGTAACTCTCTTTGCAAAGTGGTTTAATTTGGGGGCGGGAGGGGTGGATCCAGTTTGAATGATAGACGCTCCAGGAAATAAACTTGTGCTTGATGGATATGCATGTTCCATGGGAACTGTTAATATGCCCTTAAAGAGCCAGTTGCATTCTGTAAACTGCACTGGAGTTGTGGTGGTGCCAGTTGCTGTGCTGAGAGCCTCATTAATGATGCAACCCCAGGCTATGTGGGCTGTGGACTTTAAAAGGGACAAGATTCTGAGTCACTGGGACACTGACTTTTTCCCTGGAGAGCCTGGTTTTTGGAGGAAGCGGCTAGCCATGTACATAGGCCCGCTTCTTCCCCCATCTTGCCACAAAGGTCAGCAATGAACCTGGATGTCTGGTGGGATGAGCCAGTTGCTGTCTTTTTAAATCAGAGTGGATGGAAGGAAACCAGAGAAGGATCGACAGGGAACAAAGTAATAATGATTCTTGAGAGTGGCATTTATGAACTCCAAGTGCACAGGGATTGGAGGGGAGGCAGAATCCACCCCCCAAGCCATGGTCAGTACCTGGACCAGCCAGGCATTCCCTTCCACAGCTGGAGTGGGAGCAGTGACCCCTAGGCAAACCCCTACGTGGCTGCT